TCAGAGGGGCCACAGTGAATGGGCTATGAAACTCCCCTGCTTTGCTTCAGGTGCCTCCAGGTAACACCTCAGAGCATTGCAGCAGGGAGAGCCTCTGCTTGGTGCTCTGAAACCTTTCTGGGATGAAAATAAAAAATATCAAGCAACGGTCTGGCAGTGTGTGTGTTTGAAACTTGATCTTATTATTTATAAACGAGGATTTAACCTTTCAAAATGGTTATTACTATGGCTCTATCCTAAAGAAGTGCTGTAAGATCACATCACAACTCCCACACATGCGCTTGTTGGCATTTAGATTTGCCTCTCAGCACATTAATGAAAACTTGTCTGCATTTGCTACTACAAGGTGTCATTTGCAAAGTAACCAAACTCTAAAATACAAACTGTATTCACTTCTGGCTCGTCCTGGCAGTTAAATAAACAGTTGATTGTGGCCTATCCTCAGAGCAGGCTGTATGTATAGACTGGCTTCAAATGATGATATCGCTTACGCCTGCACAATTGATTTTATCAGAACTGCGCTCATGCAATTCAGAATACCGTTAGAGGCCTGTGAGGTGTGATTGGAAGCAACACTTGCACTGTGAAAAAAGTGAGAAGGAATGTAAGTTCATCTTCAAACCCGAAAGTGAGATCACAGAGACTGTCAGCAAGTGGAAAAAAAGAAAGCTTTGATTTAGAAAGGGTAAAGAAACCTCAGAAGTCACAAAGACAGGCTAAGGAGCCATGTTGCTTTCAGAGCAGAGTAAGTACTTAGGAGGTAAATGTAGGAATTCAATAGAAACATAGTGCTACTTTAATACTGGAAAGCACTTTTTAGAAGCCACTGAACACTCGGGCCTAACAGGGGTTGGTGCATTTTTCACTGAGCAGATGTGCAAATAATAAAGTAATGGTCATGGAGAAGAATTTAACTATATGCTTTAAGAACAAAGGGGACAGACTCTGCAGCAGGGACTGTAGTGATAGCACAATGGGAAATGGGAAAGACAGAATGAAGAGAGATTTAGACTGGATATAAGGGAAAAGTTTGTTACGATAAGGGTGGTCAGGCACTGGAATAAGTTGACCAGAGAGGTGGTGGGTGCCCCATTCCTAGAAACATTCCAGGTCAAGGTGGATGGGGCTCTGAGCAGCTTGATGCAGCTGTAGGTGTCCCTGTTCATTGCGGGGGAGTTGGACCAGATGACCTTTAAAGGTCTCTTCCAATTCAAACAGTCCTATGGTTCTATGAAACTCTGAGATAGTTCTGACCCTTAGTCCTATCCTTTTTATGGTTTAGACAAAAATGTGGCTGTAAGCAAGCATGAGAGCAGTGTGTCTTGATGAAACGCAAACTCCTCTTTACAAGGAAGGACACGGGCATTTGGTACGTACCTGCTGTGGTGTGCTGCACCTGTGTCAGTGTTAGACCGCAGCCTTTGGTATCAGTTATCCTCTGTTTTGCAAATCTATGAACAGTGGTAGTAACTAACACTACTGGCAGATGGAGTTCTTGGACTACTGCTGAGATACCCATGGGTGATGCTGTGTTCCTCAGTTTGAAGCATGGCTGAAGCTGAGAAGCCGCTGCAGCATGAGAAGTACGTTTTATTGTAGAAGTGTGGCACAGAAGCCTGGAATGTCAGGATCCAATTTATTGGCACTGCCACATACTGCAGCCCTTAGGGCACAGGCTGCACGCTTTGCTGTTGTTCAAGGCCTTTGACATGGTCCCCCACCACATCCCCACCACATGTGGATTTGATGGGCAGTCCACTCGAGGATAAGAAATTGGTTGAAAGGCTGCAAACAAAGGGTGGTCATCAGTGGTTCTATGTCCAGGTGGAGGCTGGTAACGAGTGGCATCCCCCAGGGGTCTGTGTTGGGACCAGTGCTCTTTAACATCTTTATCAATGACATCGATGATGGAATCGAGTGCACCCTCAGCAAATTCGCTGATGACACCAAGCTGAGTGTGCTATTGACATGGTAGAAGGAAGAGATGCCATTCAGAGGGACCCCAACAAGCTGGAAAGGTGGGCCCAGGTTAATCTAATGAGGTTCAATAGGGCAAAGTGCAATGTTTTGCACTTGGGCCAGAGGAATCCCAGGCATCCATACAGCCTGGAAGGAGCGATCCTTGGGAGCAGCCCTGCAGAGAAGGACCTGGGGGTCTTGATAGAAGAAAAGCTTAACATGAGCCAGCAGTGTGCTCTTGTGGCTCAGAAGGCAAATGGTATCCTGGGCTCCTGCAGAAAGGGGTGGCCAGCAGGGACAGGGAGGTGATTGTCCCCCTCTACTCTGCTCTTGTGAGGCCCCATCTGGAGTACTGTGTCCAGGTCTGGAGCCCCCAGTACAAAAAAAGACAGGGAGCTGTTGGAGAGGGTCCAGAGGAGAACCAGGAAGATGATCAGGGGACTGGAGCACCTCCCCTATGAGGACAGGCTGAGGGAGCTGGGCTTGTTCAGTCTGGAGAAAAGAAGGCTGCGAGGTGACCTCATTGCAGCCTTTCAGTACCTGAAGGGAGCCTGCAAACAGGAGGGGAATCAACTCTTTGAAAGGGTTGATAACAGCAGGACAAGGGGAAATGGTTTTAAGTTGAGGGAGGGGAGATTTAGGTTGGATGTCAGGGGGAAGTTCTTTACTATGACAGTGGTGAGGTGCTGGAACAGGCTGCCCAGAGAGGTTGTGGATGCTCTGTCCCTGGAAGTGTTCAAGGCCACGTTGGATGGGGCCCTGGGCAGCCTGGTCTGGTATTGAATGTGGAGGTTGGTGGCCCTGCATGTGGCAGAGGGCTGGAGATTCATGATCCTTGAGGTTCCTTCCAACCCTGGCCATTCTGTGATTCTGTGATTCTGTTACTTCTAAAAGTTCATATTACATGTTTGTTCTTACTGAACAGCAACGTCTTACAGCAGCCAAAGCTCAAGACATGCTGAAGTTCCCTGCTGGTAAGGACTGGTTCACACAGCTTTCTTTTTCCTTATGTTGCTGCAGAAATAGCAGCAACAGCATGTCTGAAGGCCTCCCTGGGTGCCCAGTATGGGTACGCCTGGGGAAGGCATTGGGATGAGGGGGCTGCCAGCCCAGCGTCCTTCTTCTGGGCAGGGACAGTGGAGCTGATCGTGGCTGGGAGGTAAGGTGAAGCTGAACGTGGCAAGGATGTCCTGCAGTGTCTGTGTCTCAAGAGAAGAAACTGGGCCGTGTTGAGAGCACAAGAAAATATGTTCTGTAAAAGATAAAAGCCTGGTTGGTTTCAAATCAGCTCTAACTGCATTTACAACAAAAATAATTGGATGTCCCCCTGCTCCAGCCCTCAGCAGTTGGCTTGAGACAAGTCGGCTACAGTCAGTCTGCTTCAGCCCCAGAGTACGCCCCTCTTCCTGTTCAAGAGGTTCAGTGTGTTCCCAAAGAGTAATACATTCTTGCCACAAGAGGAGAAAAACAGAAAGGTTTTCAGCAGAAAAGGAAAATTACTGAAAAAAGACATGGAGTTAAAAAAAAAAAAAAAATTACAATGGAAAGTCTGCCATATTATTCTGAATGAGACTGCAGGCAAAGAAATTTGGGAAAAGTCCTAACACTAACCCTCTGGTTTTTGTTACGGTGTTCTGCAACATTCAACATCTCATAGAATTATCCTGCAATTCCTGAGCAGCTCATAGACTTTTTGCCCACACCTGGCAGTACTCCACTGACTCCTCTCTCTCACCCAAGCTTCCCTGTTAAGCTTCTCTGTGACCTTAACGCTGGAGAAAAGGTTGCAATGTGTGTACTTTTTCCACGAGATCGGTGAAGTTCTTGGAGAATTTATAGCAGAGATCACTTCTCTGCTGTATTTATGTCCTATATGTCACATAAGACCGTGCCAGAGTTAGAGCCTCTACGGCTGTTGCAAAATAAACCTTAAGAAGCCATTTCCATCTCCAGTATAGGTGGATTTGCTTATCACAGCTTTTTGTTATAATCACAGCTCACTTACTGAGAATGCATTTCTTGTGAAGATTTTTAAGTGGAGCCATTGTGCAGGCATACAACCCCAGCACTGCTGGGACCTGCTGTCTGCACTGGTTGCTTTGCAGCATATTTAAAACTGCAATGAGGCTCCTTGTTGGTGTCCTCCACTGCCCCCAGGTGTCCCAGCACAGCTGATGTCAGAGCAGAGCCCTGTCCCTGTGAGACCCTCTTGCATCCCCAGCTCTCTGACCTCTACCTTGATAACAACTCCCACCACACGTTAGCACCTATTTATCTAAATCTCCCTTAGCTGATCTGTTTCACATCACTGGGTGATAACCCAGGTTTTCTGTTCTCATTCATCTCATGTTGACATCCAGATGAAGGACCTGAAGGATAAGGAGGTGGGAAATGGAGACCAAACTTTCCAATTGATTTGTTTGCAAGTATGGAAAGATACTTGCTAGAATGTTCAAAAGCATTTAGCTGTACAAAATGAAACCCCTGTGCATAATGCTCATTGCTATAGCCAATGCACAATATGTGATGCTCATCAGCCAGTCCTTTTGCTACTGTTAGGCTTACCTAACCACCCAGGAAGGGCAGACTTCAGCAGCCAAACCCTTCCTATCACACATGAGTTGTGGGTCCCCTTAAACTCACTTTTAAATTTAGTTATGCCTGCCATAGGCTTACCAAATGCTAATGGTTACTATCTCAGCTGCGTCCTCTGAGAAAATGCATCTAACAGTTACCATTGTTATCTATAGCCCCAGCAAAACGCACTCAATTTATTTACTGCCAGGCCCTTTTGATAGAGGCATTCGTGGAGCAAAGTACCTTTCTCGTCTCTTGTGATTAAAAATCATGCAAAATACACGTGAACGAATACATTTTAGTTTAAAATCCATATACCTTTACTTTCTAGAGATTTACTTAAGGGTGAAAAAAAATGTTCTCAGGTGCACCTGATTATAGGGTGAGCTCATTGAGACAGATGCAGATCATTAGGGGTGGGAGGGGAAAGTTGTGCAGAGAGAATAAAAGAGCTTTTGGAAGATACCATGAAGAAGCTTTCTAGTCTACTGTCCTAGTAACTTTTTCTGGCATCTTATTATGCCATCACCTATTCCTTTTAATAGCTTTCTTCCTTTGGAGCTCTCCCCATCTGCAGACTTGAGACCTTGCAGCAGCCCTGTAGTTATTCCTGGCAAAGATGGAAAAACCTTCCTAGAAGGGACCCCCTCACCCAGGACCCGCCGCCTGCCTCCGCGCTTGGCCTGGTGCTCCATTGACTGGGATCAGCTCTGCCTCCTGCAGCCCCTGGGATCTGGGGGCTTTGGGGCTGTCTACAAGGCCACCTACCATGGTGTGACTGTGGCTGTGAAGCAGGTGAAGAAGAGCAGCAAAAATCGGCTGGCATCCCGACAGAGTTTCTGGGCTGAGCTGAACGTAGCCCGACTGCAGCATGACAATGTGGTACGTGTGGTGGCTGCCAGCACGTGTGCTCCTGCCAGCCAGAACAGCCTGGGCACCATCATCATGGAATACGTTGGCAACATCACCCTGCACCATGTCATCTATGGCACTAGAGATGTGTGGAGGCAGGGCGAGGAGGAGGAAGGAGGATGTGGGAGGAAGGCTCTGAGCATGGAGGAGGCTGTGTGCTACTCGTGTGACATAGTGACTGGCTTAGCCTTCCTTCACTCGCAGGGCATCGTGCACCTCGACCTGAAGCCTGCCAATATCCTCATCACTGAGCATGGAGTGTGCAAGATCGGAGACTTCGGCTGCTCCCAGAGACTGGAGGAAGGCTTGTTCCAGAGCCACCATGTTTGTCAGCAAGGGGGCACGTACACCCACCGTGCTCCTGAGCTCCTCAAGGGCGAGAAGGTGACTGCCAAAGCAGACATCTACTCCTTTGCCATCACCCTCTGGCAGATTGTCATGCGGGAGCAGCCTTACCTGGGCGAACGGCAATACGTGCTCTATGCAGTGGTAGCCTACAACTTACGCCCTTCTCTGGAGGCCACCATCTTCCAGGAGTCACCGGTGGGCCAAAGGCTTCAGAGAATCATCAGCTGCTGCTGGAAGGCTGATGTAGAGGAGCGCCTCAGTGCAGTCCAGCTGCTCCCCAGCCTCAGGGCCCTGAAGGAGAACCTCTAGGGGAACTCAAGGTTACTCTCAACTTCTTTCCCTCCGCTTTTCCTTCGAAAATAATGACTGTAGCCTCTTTGACTTTTGATATTTTTATATTTAAAAAAAGATGTTTTGTTATAAGAAAATAAATAAAGACATTGAATGAGTTTGTTTTTTGAACTACAGAGGGGATAGAGAGGCAAGGAGCAAGGTGTTGGTGATAATAGTCTTTTTGGTTTTTGTTTTTTAATGGTTACTTTTTAGTTGATGTCTGGTGTGCTGTGCTGCCTCACTAAGAGGAAAAACTGGGGACAAAGAAAAATCATTTTCAAGTACAAAAGAGTGCTGTTTCTGGATAACATTTTGTATATAGTATTCTCTGGTATTTCCAAATTTGAGACACATGTAGTTCTTTAGATTAACTAGGCCTGGGCATTTGAGATTTTCATAGACTAATACAGAGCACCAGTGTTTGTTGTTGTCTATTCCTGTTCTTAGATGTAAATAAACTGTTTCTGAAGTGGAAAATGTAAAATACCTTATCTCCCTGTTGAAAGGAGGGACCTTATTACATTTAATAGCCTCTGATTAGCAAGAAGATGGAAAAGAACAGCTTGTTAGTATGTTCAAGTTTCCAGTCTTTCCATACTACCAGGTGTTTGTTGGAACTCACTGGCTGGTATATTGTAAACTGCAGTATCTGAGTATTAAAGAGCATCTCGTGTGGAACAGGAAGTTCCTAGATCTTGGTGATAGAGTAAATTTTAAAAATATATATGTATATGAACTGACAGGGAGATGCACAGGTGCAGAAACCTCAAACTGGGGAAGGAGTGCAAGAAATTACTCTCTCTTCTTAATACGTGGGTCAGTACCAGATAAGATACCAAAGAGATTGTAAAGGAAGATTGCTTAAAGCAGTAATAATAATACTTTGCTAGTGCTTAAAATGTATGGTGTTGAACAAACCTCTGCTCATGAATGCACTGTTTCTTATCTAATGTCTTTCCTAATCTGGTTGTAATGTGTCTGGGAGAGGAACTGCTCTAGGCAATGTTAGAGACAGAGCCCTAGTTTTTCACTTATCAAAACCAATCATTATAGAGCTGTCTAGATCTCAGCCCTTATCTGGAACTATAAAGATCTGGCTGCTGTAGCTGATACTGTCATTCTCAAGAGCTATACTTTATAAGAGAGTAAGAGTGAAGTTTTGGTCCAATTGTTTTTCTTTCCTCCCCCTTTCTTCCATTCGGGGGGGGATCCCAAAGGCACTGAGCCATTTTCCTGGTTTCTGACATGCATCTGTTCACAGCCCCTTGAAATCCTGGAAATGAGCAACTATGTATATTTGAGATGATTCTATAGGTCTTCATGGTGTTTGGGTTGTTCCTTGAAATCCATGCTTTATAAAGCAGAGTTAAGCTTAACTCTTTCTTTCTTTCCTGTCCCTCCTAAGTGGAACTATGAAATGCCTGCTGGAACTGAGAAAATGTAATTTTGTTTGTTTTCCCAGTTAAAATAATTATGCTATAAAACCAGAACTTGTTTTACATGTTGTATAACTTCTCTTGATTATAAACAGTAACTATCTTACAGGAGTTGTTATAATGAGCCAGTTCCTTTTTACAATGATTTGCCAAGGGCGCATAAAATAAACTGTCAGATAAAGCCATCGGTGCCTCTCACATTAACTTCAAGCTGTAGTGGATTCTTTCAGGGTAGAGTAAGAACTCTGCACGGTACTTCATATTTAGGTACATTGTAATAAGCTGTCATAACAATGTTGTTTGTTTGTTTGTTTTTTTTTAATAAAGGGCTTTTCCCAGAAAGAATAAAGATCTGTCAGAGCATGTAGAGCTGGGTTTAAAGAAGTGAAAGCCCATCTCAGATTGAGTCTGGTGAGGGTCGTGAAGAGCAACAGGAAGGTTTCTACAGGTACATCAACAGTAAAAGGAACAGTAGGTTGAATCTGAGCCCACTGATTAATGGGGCAAGGGAGCAAGTGACTAAAAAATAAAAAATAAAAATAAAAAATAAAAAAAAAGGGGATGTGGGGGGAACACTGGGAGAAGGACAAGGTATTCATCTATTGTTTCTTCACTTCAGCTTTTAATGCAAAGACCTGCACTAAGGAATCTTGGGCACCATAGAGACCAAAGGGAAATATGAAGCAGGGATGACTTGGTATAGGAAGGAACAGGTTAGGAACATTCAGGCAAACACATCATACACAAGTTCATGGGCCTTGACTGAGTGTATGTACATATGCCAAGGGATCTAGCTGATGTCGTGGTTAGGACACTCCGGTCTTGAAAGGCTGCGGCAAGTGAGGGGGGCTCTGCCAGACTCACAGAAAGCAATGTCACTGCTATCTGCAGATCATCAGAAATGAGTGCCTAGCAAACTACAAGACAGTTCACTTCACATCACTCCCCCAAGTAAATGGTGAAACAACTGATCCTGGAAATGATTCCAAGCGTGTGAAGAACAAGAAAGTAATTGGGTGTAGTTAGCATGGATTTACAAAGTCCAGCTGGAGGTCAGTCACCAGTGGTGTACCCTGAATGTTAATACTGGGGATAGTATAGTTTAAAATCTCTATTGATAATGTGGATGATTGGACAGTGAGTACCATCAGCAAATTTGCAGGTGATACTGAATTGGTTGGAGTGGTTGATACAGCAGATGTGCTTGCTATTGTGCTGCTATTTAGTGGGACCTTGCCAGGCTGGAGAAATTCGTTGACGGGGATCAGTGAGGGGAAATGTAAAATCCAGTAAGTGAGGAAGAAGAGACCCAGACACCATTACAGGCTCAGGGCTGACTGTCCAGGAAATAGCTGTGCAGGAAAGGACCCAGAGTTCCAGACACCAAATTGAACATGAACTAGCAATGCGCCCTTGTGGCAAAGGAGGCCAACAGCATCTTGGGCTGCACTGTGAAAGGCATCTCGAGTTCCTCCAGAGCATCAACAGATGAGATTATTCTGCACCCACCACACCAGGCTGCCCAGGGCCTCATCCAACCTGGCCTTGGGCACCTCCAAGGATGGGGTGCCACAGCTTCTCTATGGGCCTGTACCAGTGACTCTCTGAGTAAGGAATTTCTTCATAACATCTAATTTAAATCTCCCCTCTTGTACTTTAAAAGCAGTTCCCATTGTCCTTTTACTATATGCCCAAGTAAAAAATTGATCTTCTTCCTGTTTAGAATCTCCTTTTAAGTGCTGGAAAGATGCAGTGAGATCTCCTTGGAGCCTCCAGACTGAACAAGCCCAGCTCCCTCAGCCTGTCTTCTTAGGAGAAGTGCTTCACTGCTGTTCCTCTTCATGGTCCTCCTCTGAACCTGCTGCAACAGCTCCACAACCTTCTTGTGCTGGGGGCTCCAGGCCTGAAGGCAGCACTCCTGGTGGAGCCTCACAATGGAGAGTAGAGAGGGACAATCATCCCATCGAGTCCAACTGCTTGCTTCACACAGGATCACTGGAAATTCAAACCGTGCTCATGGTTGTAAGTCAGCGTAAGTGTTAAGGGCACCTCATCCCTAATTTATCTTCTGCATTTCTGAAGCTGATTGCCAGCAGCTGATGAACCTAAACATGGGTTCTCTTAAAGGCCTGGAGAAAGCGCTACAACCAGATAATTGCAGTTTATCAACATCTGTCTGTATCTGCTGAGCATGATATACTTATGATATACCAGTGCTGATGATCCTTCCACTTCCAGTCAGGGAGGCAGAGGTCAAAGAAGGTAGGAGAATTTTTTTCTATTTTATCACTGTCTTTGATGGAAGGAGGGTGCTGATAACAGTGTTTGACGTGATGCAAAACATAAAAAGGAACATCAGTTTTTTAATCTGTGGTCTACATGCCTCAGCAGGGTATATATGAAGACATAAGGAGCTTGAAAGGCTGAACAAGCGTTCTTGTCCTGATCAGCTCAGTAGGGTCTTGCGAATTATGGGAAGTATGGGGCCCACTATTGCACAGATTCAGATAATGCAGCATCACTGGTGCTGCAGTGTATCAGTGGGCTCTGCCATCTGCCAGCCAGTGTGCTCTGTTCAGTGTAAGAGTGATACTAAGAGTGGGCCAGACCTTCTCCAGTGAAAGTGGCCAAATCATCTGGGCTGTGCTTTTCAGAAGGAACAGAGCCTCATTTGTCCCAGTTGGTAAATGCCAGATCTCTCATGTCTTACCATCAACTCAGTTCCTTAGTTTGATATAGTTATTTTTCTTGGAGGCTGAAATATTCTTATGTTTATTTAACAGCATAACTTTTGGCACAGCAAAGTGCCATTTCTGGGATCCCGGGATTGCTGTGCCATGCCACAGTGGCTATCTTCTTACTGTGAGCTCTTTCTGTTATGTTCCCCGTTCGTAAGCTGGACCCCAGCACAAGCTGCCTTTCTGGCTTCCAGCTCTGCAGTGTTGAGTTAACTAGTCCAAACCAATTGGGTTAGCTGCTGTCTCATAGCAGTCCTGAGTAGCCACAGTCTGCATGGAAACAAGCTAGTTCCCATCAACACCCTAGTGCCTAACTATCACATCTGGCTGCCTTTACTAATTTCAGACACCTCCTATTAAAAAGGACACTGTGAAATGCTTGCATTATCTTGCTCAGTCACCAACAGCAGTAGCTTTGGACATGTTAATCACATCAGAGCGTTACATTTTATGCTTCCTTGATTATCCAGATAATATTGTCTACTATGGCAAAGCATGAACTAGAAGTTTTAACTCTAGCCTCTTTTTTCTTTTTTTCAGTAGTAAATGGCATCCAGTCCTTTCCATCAGATTTGCACACTCAGCACTGGTGAGGCCACACTTTGAGTACTATGTTCAGTTTTGGGCCCCTCTGTACAAGAAAGAAATTGAGGCCCTGGAGCACGTCCAGAGAAGGGCAAGGAAACTGTGAGGGATCTGGAGCACAAGTCTTATAAGAAACAGCTCAGGGAACTGGGGCAGTTTAGTGTGAAGAAGAGGAAGCCCAGGAGGGGCCTTGCAGCCCTTTAGCATGACTTGAAAGGAGGTTGTGGTGAGGTGGGGATCAGCCTCTTCACCTTGGTAACAGCAACAGGATGAGAGATAATAGCCTCAAGTTGCACCAGGAAAGGTTCAGGCTGGATATTAGGAAATGTTTCTTCACAGAAAGAGTGCTGAGGCATTGCAACAGGCTGCCCAGGGAGTGGAGTCACCGTCCCTGAAGGCGTTCAAGAAACATGGAGATGTGGCACTGAGGGATGTGGTTACTGGGCATGGTGGGGATGGGCTGGTGGTTGGATTAGATGTTCTGCTTAGTGGTCTTTTCCAACTTGTATGATTCCATGATTCCATAATTTCATCTAAACATCCAATTTGAACTTAATCTTCACAACAGCCAGTACTACGGAGTACTGAACTGGTTTTAGATCAAAATTAAATACTTTTGTCCACGATGGAAAGCAATTTCCATGTGCTCTCTTGAGCTCTGAGAATCTCTAAGATCTGACATTTTCTTTAGCAGTCAAATTTAAAAAGGCAAGAAAAATGGGTGAAAGCATGGGTAGCATGCAATTGTAATGAACAATTTCTAGGAAGAATAAGAAAATAAAAGAAATAGGATGGAAGTAGCATTTTATTTCTTAATTTGTTTTGTTTTGTTGTTTTGTTTTTGTTTTTGTCTTGCAGGAGGGAGCTGGGAGCATTGCTGTTGAGCACATTTGCTAATTAAGCAGCAATTGTTATTTATTTCACTTTTACATAGCTTGTGGCTTCCCATCAGTGGAGTGCCCCTGAAAGCCTGCTTCTGGCTTATTGTGTTGTTTGCTCCTCTCTCCTTGGAGGCTTCTTCTGAAGTTCTGAATCTTTATGAGGTGAACTGCATTGCATATCACTTATCAGAGAACTCAAATGCAAACTATTTCAGCAATCACAATCCAGTTTCTTTAAGCTTTCTATTTTTACCTTCTATGATTATAA